AAAAAATTATACACATACTGGCTTTAATGAAACAAGATAAACTGTACACAAATAACCACTCCAACAAAGCCAGATAACGGATCCAAACAAGGGTTTCCTTTAATGATCATTTGTCTTGTAAAGAATATAATACAGTGACAGGACTGGAATTCATAAGAACATACATCAATAAATATGAATAAATACTTGTGGACCAGATTCACACAGCCGTAGACGGGCTCAGTTGCAGTCATATGCGTTCACAGTCGACATGAACACATAGCTTGCTGCAGACTGAAGTGACGTGCAGGGAACAGAGCCAAAGAAGTGACATTTTGTCTGTATGGTAAACTATCACCTCACTTATGGCTCTTGGAGAGCGTGTGTTGTCTGGTGCGTCTCTGTCTTTCTGATGCAGCAGTGTGTGTGAATAGAAGTGGGAAATTGAAAGAGGGAAATGGGTTTTGGATCCACTGAGGCTGTGTGAATATGGTCCAGAAAGGCTAAGCAACAAACACACCCAGAGTTTAAATGGATTTTTAAATAAGGAAAAGAAAAACCTCAGAGTATTTACATCACAGAGGAGTGTTTGTCATTGGTTTCTGTTCTGCATTTGTCGCTTTCATTTCTCATTCTCTCACTGTAACATGTTTCCATCCATCCCAACAGAATACAGACGCTTTCTTGACAATGATAAATAGTCTTAACTCAATATCAGACAGAAAAGCGATGTCATAGAAATACCACAAGGGGTGTACCTGTACATTAGATACTGAACAGTGAAGGAGTGATGCAGCAGTCCACTGGAAGAAAAGAGTTTTTTAAAAGTCTGATGAAATCCAAATAAGAAAAGAAAGAAAAGATAATGATGCAAATTATGCAGAAATTTGAGCAGAATCAATTATGTGGGAGAGTACACAACTTGCTTGTTCACAAAGACACAAAGGAGTGCAGTAAGCTATGAGAGTCTGTTTTCCTGTCATTTAGAAAACATCCAGTGGTCAGTCGGCGCTATCGTGCCGTCAATGCCATCGACAGACTTAATAGGAACCCAAGACAGACAGCCTAATCATGAAATCAATAGTCTGTCTGTGTGTGGCTGAGGACAACAGCCTCTACCGCTCTTCTCACGCTGCCATCGCTGACGACTGCTGCGTCTAAAATGCATCCGTTTACAGTCACAGACAGTGGTTACAGTGCAATTCTCAGTTTTCTTCACACTGTTTGCTATTAGGCCCGCACTATAAATCTTGACAATAAATGAATAGGGTGAGGTTTTAAAGCAAACTCATCAAATATATTTCTAAAACTTTGCTGTCCTCCTGAAACATCACAAGCAGCTATTGTATCATTACTTGATGGATTCAGAACTGACCTGTGCAGTATTTTGACAGCTGGTCCTAGATGATATATCAGAGTTTATATCGGAGTTTTAATGTTAGTGGCTCTGTCCTGCTGTATTGGATTAGAGAAAGTTTATGTGTTACGTTCACAGACATTTCTCTTGTAATGTTAAAATTGAAACAATAAACGATAAAGTATAAATGTAACTTCTATATTGCTTGTCCAAGTATGTAAGAGAGTCTGATCTTACATTTTTCCTTATACTTAATAATACTAGGGTTAAGAGCATTGCAGTTATTTATCTCCACGTCTTCTTCAGCTTCTGAGGGTACTAAACTTTTGCCTGAGACATGTAGCTTTAGACTCAGTCTTTAAGTATGATATCACGTATTTATTAATACCCTTACATGGCTCTTGTTTTTAAAATAAGTCTGGAAGCTTTAGAAAGTGAGGAGAGGAGTTTCTAATTAATTAATTAGCCAGCTAGCTAATTAGTTGCAAGTAGCAACAGTTAATAAGGGGGTGGGACTTATGAACTGTCAATGGCTCCTTGTTTTTTAATATTAAATGCCTAAATTGCAGGTATATTAACTTTACTGGGGTCTAATTTACTTGTTTTTGTTGTTGTTCTATTATATTTAATTTCATGCTTGGATATAAGGTGAGAGTTCTATAATCCCCTTTAAGTTTTTGTTTTCAATTTTTATTTGTTGTGCCTGGTTGTGTTGTGTTTTTTTTGAGGTGAAAAGAAAATTATATCCATGTTTTTGAATGCTGCTGCAACCACCTGCCGTCGCCTTTGAGACACAAGCACACCCAGAGTCAATTTCCTCTGCCTTGTTTGTATCACTCCTGTCACACTGATTCAACCAGACACACTTCCTCACAACATATACAACAAATCTAACCAAGTTGTGCTCCTGCTGTTATCGTTTAGACAGAGTGCAATCAAACAGTCACAGCTGGGGCGCCCCGGTAGCTTGCTTGGTAGGGCATGTAAGGCTTGAGTCCTTGCCGCAGCAGCCAGGGTTCAAGTCTGGCCCGGACCCTTTGCCTCATGTCATCCCCTCTTTCTCCTCTCCTTCTACTATCACTGTCAAATAAGGCAAAATGCCAAACCCCTCCAAAAAAACAGCTACAAGCACACAGAGATGTAGTTGCACTCCCCACAATCCCACTCTTATCTAATCTCTGCTGAATTCAAAAGGCTTCAGCTGCGAGCTGCGAGTGAGGGGAATGACTCGGTCACAATTAGGACATGTGGCTGAGACTGAGAAGAGGCCTGCTGGCTGTGAAGACGTTCGCTGGTTTGCCCGCTGCTCTCCCCTCAGGCGTGGTGCTCGCTGCTGCGTCAAGAGACAGCTGGCAGCAACCTCTGTTAAGTCAGTCATCTTCATAATTAAGACTCACAATTATAAGGCTTCGTCTCTGTCTGTCTGCCTGCCCCTCAGGGCTTCCAGTAGAAAGACCAATGAGGGAAGGACAGGGGTGGAGGGGGGAT